TTGGCGCAGGATAGAGCAGGGTTTAGAGCTGTTGTGCATAGGGTCGCTATGAGTCGGAAACGACTCGATGGCACATAACAACAACAACATCATCAAAAATGCTTTTAAACACAAATCAAAATGTCCACAAGATGTTTATTCATCAACTAAACTGGCAAAACTTTTTCATAACTCTGTTGAAAGTCCTGGGAATAATTACATTTATAATTTAATGTAACATACAGCCACACAGAGAAGAATTATGCAGTCATCAAAAACTAGGTCATAAAAGGAGATTGAAAATGTTCACTATATACTGCTATTAAAAGAGGTTTTATGGAAATATGTGCAATATGAACCAATTACAGTAAAAATAGTATAGATATTTTAAAAATATAAGAAAAACAGCCCCAAAATTCTATCCACTCTAGTGATAGATTACTTGTTTTGTTTAACATTCTATTTTCTCTAGTTTCTACATAAGCATGTATTACCCTTATACAACAACTCATTCCCACCAATTCAAAGCCAACTCAGAGCTAACCCTCCAGCGTGTTTTCAGAGGCTGTAAATCACATGGCAGGGGATTGTCCGTCTTTCTCTCAGAGCAGCTGGTGGGTTTGAACTGCCTACTTTGGGGTGGCCACTAAGTCACACACAAAAAAACTAAAAAACACCCAACCTGTTTTCTAGCACTGTGTCTAAGCAGTTGAACCCATTCATTGCCATTGGCTTGGTTCTGACTCACAGTCAACTCTCCAATTAGTTTTCAGAGGCTGCAAGTCACATGGGAGACTGACCATCTTTCTCCCTTGGAGCTGCTGGTGGACCTGACCCCTGTGTGCCCTTGGGTTGGCAGCATAATTCCCTGTCCACTAGGCTTCAGTGAGATGAACTGCCATTGTGGCCACAACAGTGCATGCGAGGCTGGCACAGGCTCAGGCAGTATTCCCTTCTGTTGTACACACGGTCACTATGGGTGAACACAAACTTGATGCAACCCACACAAGGACAACTGTCAGTTAACCATCGGGGCGTCTACTCCTAGAGCCAAGCAGCTGTCTGGACTTTTCACTTGAAGGCTAAATTCTGTGCCTAAAAATATGCCAAATTAAATGTGTGATCTCACCCCTAGAATCTCTCTGTGCACCTGGGACTTGTTAGTCACACATTTATATCAGAGCCCGTCACCAGAAGCACTGTGTCTTGAGTTTACACACAGCACAGGCTCAAAAAGAATGTGTGCTGTGGCTTTGTTCATCTCCTGCCACTCCCATATCATTTCAATTCAGAAAAACATTATTAATCACCCTGGACGTGCTATGGATTGGTTTGGTGCAAGAGACATAGTAGCAAGCAATACTTGGTCTCTCTCTATATATATATCAGCGGAGACAAATGCATCAACAGAAAAATCACAAAGATAAACGGTCAGTCCAAGATTCAACCACTGGAGAGGGCAATTTACTTCCTAAATCTTAACATGTCACAGACAACTTAAGATTGAAGTGGGCAGGCCAGCCAAGCCAAGCAATGAAGTAACCCAAATATTTTCAAGAACAATATTGGAAAATATGTCACTTCAGTTCTGCTAAATTAGAAAGCAGTAACTCCAGGGAAAGGAATCTTTGTTTCCTGGGA